GTATCTCCAGGATATTGATAGGAGAGGCTTTGGTATTGTTAAAGCCATTGGATGTCATAGAGTATGGTTAGATTCTCTCTTGTTGGAGATGGTTATTGCCTGGCACTTGAGTGGCACATAAAATCCAATTTCTACCATACCCTCACTCCCAGCCTACATTCTGAAAGGATGATGGAAGAAGATTCAATCATAACTTTCAAAAGGGCATTAGAATGAATGCTTGAATGGGACCCTCACTACTCTGTACCCTAGCACCAGCCATCATCCCCAACTCCAACTCTACCAACGCTTACACTTTGCTTCATTTTTCACTCATCAGCATTGGGTACTGTTGGGCTAGTGAATTGGTGTGTTAGTTTAATTGTTACCTGGGGCTTAGAATAAGTTTTTTAATTCATCTAGTTCATCTAGTTTAATTCATCTTCAGTTCTGAGGAAGGTTCACTGGACCCAAAATGTTAACTCTGTTTTTTCCTTCACAGATGCTGCCAGACCTGCTGAGCTTTTGTTTTTGTTCCTTGTTTTAATTTATCTAACTTTTCCTGTCTTTCTATTAAGGCAAGTGAGTCAGAACCTGTCAACGTCTATGACTCTAACTCAGAGACTGGGACTCTTTTTTGGAGGGTTCCAGATGCCATACAATTTCCTATCAGAAGTTTCAACTTCCTTGCCAATTTCCATGAAAACAGCACCATTGCAACTTCTGCATGGTCTGGATCGGCAATCCTGTCTACACCTCAGCAACACCTCTCTACTCATTGCAAAATTGCTATTGTCACTTTAGAATAAGATTGTAATACCTTCAGTATCACCAAGGAAACCATCAGGTCATACACCATCTAAGTTTGGTTTTACGTTTGAGTTTGATTTATTGTTGCCACATGTAACAAGATATAGTGAAAAGTATTGTTTTGCATGCTATACAGGTAGGCTGTACCAAAGAAAGTGCATTGGGGAAGCAGAACAGAGTGCAGAACGTAGGGTCACAGACACAGAGAAGGTGCGGGGACAGAGAGAGATCAGATTTAACATTTGAGAGGTCGGTTCAAAGTCTGATAGCAGCAGGAAAGAAGCTGTCCTTGACTCTGTTCATATGTGTATGCAAACTTTTATATCTTCTGCCCAAAGGCAGAGGTTGGAAGAGAGGAAAACTGGGGTGGGAGGTGTCTGTGATTATGCTGGTAGCTTTCCTGAGGCAGCGGGAAATATAGGCAGAGTCAATGGATGGAAGGCTGGTTTGCATGATGGCCTGGGCTATGTTCATAACTCTCTGTAGTTTGTTG